ATTCTACGCAAACAGTTTATTATTAAGTCTTTGTACAATAATATATTTGGGAACAGGAGTACATTATTGTATTTAGATAAATGGGATGGTATATATATAAGCAGTGAGACAGGGAACACAATCAACTTGGCGAAAATTAATATAACTTACAATATAGCACAGAGGACAGTTCACCACAGGAACAAAGCCACAGGTCCCAAGACCTACACAGCACGAGTACTACTCCAAGCCAGTACTCTGCCCAATGTCTCCAACAGTCTCCTCCACAGACTTTAGCAGCCTTCTCCCGAGCCCTGCACCCCAGCAGCAGCTCCGCTAAAACTCTCCTTCCTCAGTATGTTACTTAGTAACAAAGGTACATTAGGTACCAACACAGGTACAACTAATGTAACATTTATCGTGGTATCAAAATATTTTTTTTGAAATATATCCCTTGGGTAATATTTCTGCCCAATTATAATTGGAATTTCCAAGGACATTGTATTTTCTATACTGCATGCTAATGTTCATTATACCTTTGCATCAAGCAAGTTAACAAGACCATAAGGTAGCTGGTCTTCAACAACTGTTACCTGTGGATAACTTCCACAGTTTCAGAGGCAGAAATACTGCCCCTGTGACTGTCACAGAGACAGTAATACTGCCCCTGTGACTGTCACAGAGACAGTAATACTGCCCCTGTGACTGTCACAGAGACAGTAATACTGCCCCTGTGACTGTCACAGAGACAGTAATACTGCCCCTGTGACTGTCACAGAGACAGTAATACTGCTCCTGTGACTGTCACAGAGACAGTAATACTGCCCCTGTGACTGTCACAGAGACAGTAATACTGCCCCTGTGACTGTCACAGAGACAGTAATACTGCCCCTGTGACTGTCACAGAGACAGTAATACTGCCCCTGTGACTGTCACAGAGACAGTAATACTGCTCCTGTGACTGTCACAGAGACAGTAATACTGCCCCTGTGACTGTCACAGAGACAGTAATACTGCCCCTGTGACTGTCACAGAGACAGTAATACTGCCCCTGTGACTGTCACAGAGACAGTAATACTGCCCCTGTGACTGTCACAGAGACAGTAATACTGCTCCTGTGACTGTCACAGAGACAGTAATACTGCCCCTGTGACTGTCACAGAGACAGTAATACTGCCCCTGTGACTGTCACAGAGACAGTAATACTGCCCCTGTGACTGTCACAGAGACAGTAATACTGCCCCTGTGACTGTCACAGAGACAGTAATACTGCTCCTGTGACTGTCACAGAGACAGTAATATTGCCCCTGTGACTGTCACAGAGACAGTAATACTGCCCCTGTGACTGTCACAGAGATAGTAATACACTGTCAGTGTAACTGTCAGAGAGGCAGTAATAGTGCCAGTGTGACTGTCACACAGGCAGCAGTATTGCCTGTGTGACTGTCACAGAGGCAGTAATATTATCTGTGTGACTGTCACAGAGGCAGTAATACTGCCTGTGTGACTGTCACACAGACAGCAATACTATCTGTGTGACTGTCACAGAGGCAGTAATACTATCTGTGTGACTGTCACAGAGGCAGTAATACTGCCCCTGTGACTGTCAAGAGACAGCAACTCTGAGACAGTAATAGGTAACATTTCTCTAAACTGATACTAAACGTGACAGATACAAGACCAGCAACATTACTCAGACTGAACCATCACCAGGAACCAGAGCGTGTGTATGGTTCATTTCCTGCTGAACCATGAAGGCCACGGAACTGCGGCTAATATCAGCTGTGGTTAATATCAGCTATGGCTAATATCAGCTGTGGCTAATATCTGGGAATATTTGAAGCCAATTGTACTCAGACAACATGTCTCTTGTTTAAAGTCAAGATTCTTAATAAACTTGCTCACTGCAGTGTGCTTTAAATAATAATATTTATATTATACGTGTGTGTGTGTGTGTGTGTACTCACCTATTTGTGATGACAGAGGTCGAGCCTTAGCTACTGGCTCCGCTGGCCGCTACAGGGTTTCCCCTCTCCTGGCTGCGAGAGCCCTGTCATACCTATTCTTAAAGCTATGTATGGATCCTGCCTCTACCACCTCCCTGTTTGCCATGCAAATAACGCCAAAGCTAAATTATGACACTGAGCTTAGCACTTTGATTATTATTATTATTATTGTCATCATTGAGATCATTTGGCTCACATAATTACTCACATGTTCACTTTAAGAGCCAAATCATAATTTTTACAACACCTATTCAATTCCTATTAAACGGGTCAGCTACTTACTTTGTTTGGGATTTTTTCTCCCTTTCTTTCCACTTTTTTTTCTCAGACTGGAACTGCGTTATCTTATCTTGTTGCAACTAAGGAATATTTCTTATCTAGTCTTTTAAGTAGTTTTAAGACCTTATATGTAGTTATTATGGCTCCCCTTCTGTTGCTATCTTTAATGTTATGTCTCCCCTTCTGTTGCTATCTTTAATGTTATGTCTCCCCTTCTGTTGCTATCTTTAATGTTATGTCTCCCCTTCTGTTGCTATCTTTAATGTTATGTCTCCCCTTCTGTTGCTATCTTTAATGTTGTTGTGTCTCCCCTTCTGTTGCTATCTTTAATGTTATGTCTCCCCTTCTGTTGCTATCTTTAATGTTATGTCTCCCCTTCTGTTGCTATCTTTAATGTTATGTCTCCCCTTCTGTTGATATCTTTAATGTTATGTCTCCCCTTCTGTTGCTATCTTTAATGTTATGTCTCCCCTTCTGTTGCTATCTTTCGTGTTGTTGTCTCCCCTTCTGTTGCTATCTTTCGTGTTGTTGTCTCCCCTTCTGTTGCTATCTTTCGTGTTGTTGTCTCCCCTTCTGTTGCTATCTTTAATGTCATTATGTCGCCTCTCCTGCTATGTTTATGTCTCCTGCTATCTTTATCATACCTCCTGCTCTCTTTAATGTCACATCTCCTCTTCTCCAAATATCTTAAAGGTTTTCAACACCTGATCACAGTTCACATTGTTCAACTCTGGCAGCCACTTCGTAACTGTTCTCACGAACAACATCTACCTTACCTACCTATCTCTCCAGATATAAACATTCTGATTTTTTTCTCTAACATGAGTTATAAGCAAATTTCATAACCACTCATCGTAGTTTGCAAGTTATTTTGTACTCTGCCAGCGTAACACACGAAGTTATCACAATATTCTTTATATTATCTTTCGGAGACAATATTTTGCTGGTGAAGACGAGTGTAAATATGATACGAAATACAGTGGACCCCCGGTTAACGAACTCTTTTCATTCCAGTAGTATGTTCAGGTGCCAGTACTGACCGAATTTTTTCCCATAAGGAATATTGTGAAGTAGATTAGTCCATTTCAGACCCCCAAACATACACGTACAAACGCACTTACATACACTTACATAATTGGTCGCATTTGGAGGTGATCGTTAAGCGGGGGTGCACTGTACAGTGGACCCCCGGTTAACGAACTTTTTTCATTCCAGTAGTATGTTCAGGTGCCAGTACTGACCGAATTTTTTCCCATAAGGAATATTGTGAAGTAGATTAGTCCATTTCAGACCCCCAAACATACACGTACAAACGCACTTACATAAATACACTTACATAATTGGTCGCATTTGGAGGTGATCGTTAAGCGGGGGTCCACTGTATATTAAACATATTTCACAAATATGCTTGTAACAGGTAAGTGAACTGTACTCAAGGATGTACTCAACGTGACGTCTGTCGTGTGTATACTCGCCTATTTCACCTGTTTGTGGTTGCAGGGGTCGAGTTACAGGTCCTGGCCCCTCCTCTCCTGTTAACCCTTCTTTGGGCTTGGTTCATAGGCCTATTGTGTATCCATATGGTCTTGCACTACCATCCATAGGATGGATATGAGGTGCACAATAAACTAGCCACTCTGGTGGCTAGTTTATATACTGTTTATATAATGCTGTGGAAGATGTCTTCACCGTGTGTATTTTACAGGTCATCGTCCCTCCAGTACAATGTCAACTTTCCAGAGAGAATATTACAGATGTTTTGAAGCCTTCCCAATAGATGGAGTATTTTATATACCATATACAGTGTACCCCCGCTTAACGATCACCTCCAAATGCGACCAATTATGTAAGTGTATTTATGTAAGTGCGGTTGTACGTGTATGTTTGGGGGTCTGAAATGGACTAATCTACTTCACAATATTCCTTATGGGAAAAAATTCAGTCAGTACTGGCACCTGAACATACTACTGGAATGAAAAAAGTTCGTTAACCGGGGGTCCACTGTATACGGCTGCCACATATATTGTGCTATAAGTAACGAGGCACTTGTGTTACATTCTGGCATTATCCTGGAAACGTTTCTCCAGAGGCTCTTTCAGTCCAGTGCAGAGAAAGGTAGAGAATATCTCAACACGTTTCTCTCTAGTGGACTGAAGAAATCACTGACTGGCGAAACCCTTGCATAATTAAGATACCGAAATGTTGCATAAGAGTCTCATTCGTCAAGGCAAATGCTGCGTTTTTATTTATTCACGATATATAAGTACGCAGCATTTGCCTAGCCTATTATCTTTCCAGCCTTGAAGCTCTGTAATCACAGGATATTATTCCAGACGTGAGAATACAAGTTACTCTAATATTTACCATAATTCACTCTGATGTTTACCTGACCTTTGTTCCCAGTGAGTTAGACTGTGTGATGTTCCACTGTGTGATGTTCCACTGTGTGATGTTCCACTGTCTGATGTCCCACTGTGTGATGCTCCACTGTCTGATGTTCCACTGTCTGATGTTCCACTGTCTGATGTTCCACTGTCTGATGTTCCACTGTGTGATGTTCCACTGTGTGATGTTCCACTGTGTGATGTTCCACTGTGTGATGTTCCACTGTGTGATGTTCCACTGTCTGATGTTCCACTGTCTGATGTTCCATTGTGTGATGTACCATTGTGTGATGTACCATTGTGTGATGTACCATTGTGTGATGTGTCACTGTGTGATGTTCCGTATTTCCAGACTACCGGAAGTGTTTCTACCTAGAGTTCACCTGCGCTAACGGAGAGTGCATCCGGCCCGGTCTGGTTTGTGACGGCATCCTCGACTGTATAGACGGCTCTGACGAGACCCAGTGCCAGCCAGGTTAGTGGAGCAGAGTGCCAGGTTCCTAAACAGTATGAAATATAGTGCTGATAGACGAATAGATGGTCTTTATGACTATGGGCTTCTGGCATACCTGGAGAACACCTGGAGTGTGTTTCGGGGGTCAACGCCCCCTCGGTCTGGTGTGTGACAACTCATTACTGTATCGTGTTGCAGTATTAATGATTTGGATGGTAGGTTGCTTTTCTGTAGCCAGGATGAAAAAACAAACAGATGCAAGGAACAGCACTCATTGAACACAACAGGAGTGACAACAGGAACAACAGACAACAGTCAACCAATGCAAGTGATAACAGGCAACAACCAGCACAGGAGTGACAACAGGGACAACAGACAACATTCAACACAACAGGAGTGACAACAGGGACAACAGACACTCAACAGAAGGGACAACAGGAATAGTGACAACAGGAGCAACAGACAACACAAGAGGAGTGACAAAAGAAACAGCAGATAAAAAATGACAACAGACATTGCTGAATGAACACAACAGGAGTGACAACAGGAACAACAGACAACATTCAACACAACAGGAGTGACAACAGGAACAACAGACACTTTATACTTTTTAGTAACACCTTCTCTCAGACATATCTCAACTTCCTCTACCCTCCTCCTCGCTGCAACGTTTAAAACCCATACCTCACACCCATATGAAAGTGCTCTTACAATTACACTCTAGAACATTGCCATTTTGCCTCCAGACGAAAGCTTCTTACCACCACAGACGCCTCAAAACACTACCTACCATTTCCACTCGTCTGTTCAACACTATCTGCCATTCCCCTCTCGTCAATTCGTTGGTTCACCACTTCCTTCATAGAGTCATCTGTGGTTATGACCGTTCCTAAATTATATGAGAAACAAATTACTAAGGACGAGATACAGCGAACATAGCTCTGGTTATGTAAGTAAACAGACAGACAGACACACACACACACACACACACACACACAAGAAGGCGTTTGACACAGTTCCACACAAGAGATTAGTGCAAAAGCTGGAGGACCAAACAGGGATAACAGGGAAGGCGCTGCAATGGATCAGGGAATACCTGTCAGTAAGACATCAGCGAGTCATGGAACTTGGCGAGGTGTTAGAGTGGGTGCCTGTGATGAGCGGGGTGCCACAAAGGTCAGTCTTAGGACCGGTGCTGGTTCTGATATATGTGAACGACATGACGGAAGGAATAGACTCCGAAGTGTCCCTGTTTGCAGATGACGTGAAGTTGATGGCAAGAATTCAATCGGAAGAAGACCAGGCAGAACTACAAAGGGATCTGGACAGACTGCAGGTCTGGTCCAGAAAATGGCTCATGGAGTTTAACCCCAAGTCCGCTAGCTTATCACTTTACCACTTCCACAAAGTTATTCTTACAATTATAACGATTACAGAAGGTGACACTAATTACTTGTTCTGTCTACAGAAGACTTCGTGGTATGCAGTTCTGGGAGGAAGGTACACAGGTTCTACTGGTGTGATGGCTGGCCAGACTGTGCTGACAACCATGCTGACGAACTCAACTGTAAGTGTTGCTATGTTGTTACTGTGTTGTGATTGTGGTGACTGCAGTGTGGCTGTGATGTGTTGTGACTGCAGTGTGGCTGTGATGTGTTGTGTCTGCAGTGTGGCTGTGATGTGTTGTGACTGCAGTGTGGCTGTGATGTGCTGTGGCTGTGTTCTGGCTGTGTTCTGGGTTTCTGGCTGTGTTCTGGGTTTCTGGCTGTTCTGGCTGTGTTCGGGCTGTGTTCTGACTGTGTTCTGACTGTGTTCTGACTGTGTTCTGGGTTTCTGTCTGTGTTCTGGCTGTGTTCTGGCTGTGTTCTGGCTGTGTTCTGGGTTTCTGGCTGTGTTCTGGGTTACTGGCTGTGTTCTGGGTTTCTGGCTGTGTTCTGGCTGTGTTCTGGGTTTCTGGCTGTGTTCTGGGTTTCTGGCTGTGTTCTGGATTTCTGGCTGTGTTCTGGCTGTGTTCTGGGTTTCTGGCTGTCTTCTGGCTGTGTTCTAGCTGTGTTCTGGGTTTCTGGCTGTGTTCTGGGTTTCTGGTTGTGTTCTGGCTGTGTTCTGACTGTGTTCTGGCTGTGTTCTGGCTGTGTTCTGGCTGTGTTCTGGCTGTTTTCTGGCTGTGTTCTGGCTGTGTTCTGGCTGTGTTCTGGCTGTGTTCTGGCTGTGTTCTGTCTGTGTTCTGGCTGTGTTCTGGCTGTAATATAATGTATAATTGTACTGTATAACAACAAGTTGAGGAAAGCGCTAAACTCTATGGGTTTAGAGTTATCAACTTAATGTTACCCAACTTAAATATTATCTAAGTTACCCTACGTAACATAATTTACAATTTACACAATTTACATAATTTACAATTTACATAATTTACAATTTACATAATTCACAATTTACATAATTTACAATTTACATAATTTACAATTTACATAATTTACATAATTTACAATTTACATAATTTACAATTTACATAATTTACAATTTACATAATTTACATAATTTACAATTTACATAATTTACAATTTACATAATTTACAATCAAAATGCATCTTTTTCATTAATTTGTCTAAATAATTTTTTACATAGATAAACAAACTTGTAAAAAATTTACATAAATAATTAGTATTCTAACTTTTCTGATGTTTACCTAAATATTTCTCACGTATAATTAATATGGTTATAACTAACTATAATTAATATGGTTATAACTAACTATAATTAATATGGTTATAACTAACTATAATTAATATGGTTATAACTAACTATAATTATTAAAGTGGTGGAGTGGTAAGCCAGTGGAAGGTCTCGGTCAGATGACCAAAATCTCCAGTGGCGTTAAGTAGGTGAGGTTACATTAGGTTCATCAGGAAATAGGACAAGTGTTACCTGACGCGGGTTTTAGTTATGTGATGACCCGATGCTGGACCTTTAGGTCATCTGACCGAGGCCTTCCGCTGGCTTACCAGTCCATCTCTTTCAAAATCAAAGTTATGATTATAACCATAGTGTCGCAATAAGATTTTGTTGGGATTTTTAACCCCGGAGGGTTAGCCATCAAGGATAACTCAAAAAACTCAGTGAGTTATTAAGAACACAGTTCAGGTATTACCTGGAGAGAGTTGCGGGGGTCAACGCCCCCGCGGTCCGGTCTATGACCACATGTAATAGTATTTTTTCTGTAGATGTTTCGCCATTCAGTGTTTTTATTAATAAAATAGATAATCTGAATTATATAAAATTGATTTTTATTGAATAGTGTATAAAAGGGTGACTTAGGGAACTTTGGAGCCCGGTCCCTGGACCCATTGTGTACCTCTGTAATCTGTAAATACCTTTGTAACTTGTCATGATTGTGACTAGACCTACCTGGAGTTCATTACCTTTGTAAATTGTGAGTTCATTACCTTTGTAAATTGTGAGTTCATTACCTTTGTAAATTGTGAGTTCATTACCTTTGTAAATTGTGAGTTCATTACCTTTGTAAATTGTGAGTTCATTACCTTTGTAAATTGTGAATTCATTACCTCTGTAACTTGCTCAGCTATCAAAACTTTGAGGCCCAGTCCCTGGACCAATTATGTACCTCTGTAATCTTTTGACTACCGCCCACAGGATGGGTATGGGGTGCATAATAAACATATTAAACTAACTTAGGGAACTGTAAATGGTGTAAATGTGCCTATAATGGCGTAAATGTACCTATAATGGTGTCCTGGTATTTAACCACTGTTGACCCCAGCTAAGCGTGGCTAAATGAGCTGTCATCAGTCGTGTTTACATGCTGTGGAAGGGCCCAGTCCCCTATTAATGATCTTGAAGCAGGGACTGGTGTGGTGGGCGGGTGTGGTGTGGGTATGGCTTGTGGTGTGGGTATGGCTTGTGGTGTGGGTATGGCTTGTGGTGTGGGTATGGCTTGTGGAGTGGCTGGGATGTGCCATCGGTTGAGTGAACAAGGGATTTGACTCGCTTTGAATGTGGTGTCCCGTAGGTCGAGTGCTATGGCATTCGTCTCCCACAATGAGGTCCGGGGATCGATCCCTGGTACGGCTCGAAAACATTAGGACGTGTTCCCATAAGACACCTGCTGTCCATGTGCACTCATCAGTAAAATAGGTACCTGGGTGTTAGTGGACTAGTGTGGGTGGCATCCTGGGTGTTAGTGGACCGGTGTGGGTGGCATCCTGGGTGTTAGTGGACTGGTGTGGGTGGCATCCTGGGTGTTAGTGGACTGGTGTGGGTGGCATCTTGGGACAAAGCTGACCTAGTTTGACCGAAATGCTCAGCATAAAAAGAGGCTTTCTATATAGTAGCATCCTTATATCTAGTAGTATCCCTCTATATAGCAGTATCCCTCTGTCTAGTAGTATCCCTCTATATAGTAGCAACCTTGTATACAGTGGTACGTCGCCAAGACGTACTGATGTTACTGCCGTGTGTCAGTATCATCACACCAGTAAGAACCTACAATGTTTTCTATTGTATGTCTTGTATAAATTGGACACGTGTGCAATAATTGGGTATCTATACTGAGGAAACGTTTCGCCACACAGTGTTTTCATCAGTCCAGTACAATAAAAAAATGGCGAAAATCGGAAGGAGATTGAGGTGATCAGTCCCTCAGCTTGAAGTCAATGTCTTCAGGCCACAATCTTGAGAAATATACGAAGAAAAGGGATTAAAACCCATGACAGAAATCTCTCTTACTTTCCATTATGCCCATGATTTTATAATAAGTTTTTCCATCTATTACAGAAAATCCATTTTGTCCCCGTTATATTGTATAACTATCATTATTTCTCTTCCTGTCAGGTGGAGAGTGTGAAGACCGACAGTTCCAGTGTGGTAACAATCAGTGTATCTCTGTGGGTAACGTCTGTGACTCCCAGTGTGACTGTCTCCACTGTGATGACGAACACAACTGTGACACCTTCTACACCAGGAAGTCAGGTAGGCCTACTCTCACACCATAACTGTGACAGCACCTATACCAGGAAGTCAGGTAAGCCTACTCTCACATCATAACTGTGATAGCACCTACACCAGAAAGTCAGGTAGGCCTACTCTCACACCACAACTGTGACACCTTCTACACCAGGAAGTCAGGCAGGCCTACTCTCACACCCCAACTGAGATAGCACCTACACCAGGAAGTCAGGTAGGCCTACTCTCACACCCCAACTGTGATAGCACCTACACCAGGAAGTCAGGTAAGCCTACTCTCACACCCCAACTGTGATAGCACCTACACCAGGAAGTCAGGTAGGCTTACTCTCATACCATAACTGTGACAGCACATACACCAGGAAGTCAGGTAGGCCTACTCTCACACCACAACTGTGACACCTTCTACACCAGGAAGTCAGGTAAGCCTACTCTCACACCCCAACTGTGATAGCACCTACACCAGGAAGTCAGGTAGGCCTACTCTCACACCACAACTGTGATAACACCTACACCAGGAAGTCAGGTATGCCTACTCTCACACCACAACTGTGATAACACCTACACCAGGAAGTCAGGTAGGCCTACACTCACACTCACCTGGAAAATCCTAGAGGGACTAGTACCGAACTTGCACACGAAAATCACTCACTACGAAAGCAAAAGACTTGGCAGACGATGCACCATCCCCCCAATGAAAAGCAGGGGTGTCACTAGCACGTTAAGAGACCATACAATAAGTGTCAGGGGCCCGAGACTGTTCAACTGCCTCCCAGCACACATAAGGGGGATTACCAACAGACCCCTGGCAGTCTTCAAGCTGGCACTGGACAAGCACCTAAAGTCAGTTCCTGATCAGCCGGGCTGTGGCTCGTACGTTGGTTTGCGTGTAGCCAGCAGCAACAGCCTGGTTGATCAGGCGCTGATCCACCAGGAGGCCTGGTCACAGACCGGGCCGCGGGGGCGTTGACCCCCGAAACTCTCTCCAGGTAAACTCCAGGTAAACTGTGACACCTTCTACACCAGGAAGTCAGGTAGGCCTACTCTCACACAACTGTGATAACACCTACACCAGGAAGTCAGGTAGGCCTACTCTCACACCACAACTGTGATAACTACACCAGGAAGTCAGGTAGGCCTACTCTCACACCACAACTGTGATAACACCTACACCAGGAAGACAGGTAGGCCTACTCTCACACCACAACTGTGACAGCTTATCACCAGGAAGTCAGGTAGGCCTACACTCACACAATTGTGACAGCTTATCACCAGGAAGTCAGGTAGGCCTACACTCACACCACAGAGGCTGGATGTACTGAGGAAGAATAAGCCTACGCCTCCACCTTACCAGAACCACTTTCTAAAATAACTTAACTCAAAACTATCTGACAACTAATTACTTAACCACTTTATCTTATACAGAGAAAATGAGCCTCGTTACCACTTGATAATCTGCACTTAAGAGAATACAGTGGACCCCCGCATAACGATCACCTCCAAATGCGACCAATTATGTAAGTGTATTTATGTAAGTGCGTTTGTACGTGTATGTTTGGGGGTCTGAAATGGACTAATCTACTTCACAATATTTCTTATGGGAACAAATTCGGTCAGTACTGGCACCTGAACATACTTCTGGAGTGAAAAAAATATCGTTAACCGGGGGTCCACTGTATTTCACTTAAATGTACAATAATTTATCAGTATTTACGTATTAATATTCTCTGCTGATATAATTAATTTGAAAATTATTGAAAGTATTTATCATATATACTTACATTAAGAGACACTTGAGAATTTAATTGAAAAAAAATCTTGAAGTATAGTTAGATATACAGTGGATCCCCGGTTAACGATATTTTTTCACTCCAGAAGTATAATCAGGTGCCAGTACTGACCGAATTTATTCCCATAAGGAATATTGTGAAGTAGATTATTCCTTTCAGACCCCCAAACATACACGTACAAACGCACTTACATAAATACACTTACATAATTGGTCACATCCGGAGGTAATCGTTATGCGGGGGTCCACTGTATACCCGGACAGGCTTATTTTTTCTCATTATTATTATAATCATGGGGGAGCACTAAACCCATAGGATTATATAGCACACATGGGGGGTGGGGGGAAGGTATTCAGGCTTAATTCAGGGAACTGGAGCACAGATTCAATTCCCTAGATCAAGAGCCCCTCACCAGCGTCAAGGAACCTCCCTTGAGGAACTGAAGTATTTTTGTCTAGTGGTGAGGAGTCAAAGCAGTTGAAGTCGATGACATCAATCCATCAATCCTGAAAAAACTCAATATTTCCTAGCTTTGGGAAGTATTTCCAGCACACCGCCTCTTAACTAACATTAGATATAAGTACAACCTTACAGCTGAGTGAGCAAGACAAATATCTCATCAACAGTGCTTAAAAATCAAGTAATCCCCCCTACTTTGTACTACCACCCCCTACTTTGTACTACCACTACTACTAATATCACTACCAGCATTATCTATACCACTGTTTCTCCACTTCTTTCTCTCCTTGTTCAGTTCCTATCCGCTTCTCCTATATGCTGGCTCCCTCTCTCTCGCGTCTTAGTGTGACTTGTAAATAATCCAAGATGGACGGAAACGTTGTTGTAAGGTTTTCTCTCCTGTGTGCGGGTTGTCTATTCTAGTCACGGTACTGTGACTTTTTTAAAGGGATTTCAAATCAACAGGTATGAAAAATATTAATGAAAGGTATACCTACGATCCATAGTGAGTCTTAGGTACACTTGCATTATGTTCGCCCCTAGGTCTTTCTCATTGAGGTCTACTGTCTCGGTCTTCCCAACCTGTACTCTGTGTCCGGTCTTCTTGCCCCTTCCCCAATCTTCATAACCGAGCCTTTACTAGGGTTTAATTCGAGTAACTAGATTACTTACCAAGTTTACAGTTTGTCTGGTTTCATATGTAGCTTTTCCAAGTCCTTATCGATTTATCATACTACATATTTGCTATACATCGTCAGCAAATGAAAGATACATCTAACTCAGTCCCATCTGGCATATCATTCACAGACCAGAAACAGCAGTGGTTCTAATACCGATCATTGCAGTACCCCGCTTCTATCTCTTCCCCATCCTGACGTATCCTCCCAATTATAATCTAGGACCCACCAGAGTACTTTCCCTATTTCTCTGTGTTGTATTGCCCATTTTGTAACCAACACTCCCGTCCTCCCTCTCCCTCTCACTTTATTATAGATCTCCATATAAGTAACACAAGATTTACCATCTCTAAACCCTTACTGATTACTGCTCATGAACGTCATATCTTCCAAATGCTCTGGCACACACTGATTTTCTTCTCCATAACGTTACATGGCATGACAGAGATATTGGTTTGTGGTTTAATATTGGCGGAAAAAATCCAAATACAGTATAGTGAAGTTTTTTATTGACTACGGTTCGCCACACACAGTGGACGTTATCAAATCATAAACAGATTTACCAGGGTAGAGTACATGGGTGTATATAGGATGGCGAGTCAGGTGTACAATGTTGAACAGGTAAGATCTGAGATGAACCTGCAATGGACGGCTGACAATGCTGGGTAGGTTGGATGTGAAAAACGTTTAGGTTTTCTCTGTAGTATCTGACACAATGGAGATAATTTGTGGGAAATGCTCAGCATAACAAGCAACTTTCTATACAGTAGTATATCAGTGATGTCAGCTATGGTCTGTATACCTTGTACATGTACTTGTGTACCTTGTACATGTACACCTTGTACATGCACTTGTATACCATGTACATGCACTTGTATACCTTGTACATGTACTTGTATACCATGTACATGTACTTGTATACCTTGTACATGCACTTGTATACCTTGTACATGTACTTGTATACCATGTACATGTACTTGTATACCTTGTACATGCACTTGCATACCTTGTACATGTACTTGTATACCTTGAACATGCACTTGTGTACCTTGTACATGCACTTGTGTACCTTGTACATGTACTTGTATACCTTGTACATGTACTTGTATACCTTGTACATGCACTTGTATACCTTGTACATGCACTTGTATACCTTGTACATGCACTTGTATACCTTGTACATGCACTTGTATACCTTGTACATGCACTTGTATACCTTGTACATGTACTTGTATACCTTGTACATGCACTTGTATACCTTGTACATGCACTTGTATACCTTGTACATGCACTTGTATACCTTGTACATGCACTTGTATACCTTGTACATGCACTTGTATACCTTGTACATGCACTTGTATACCTTGTACATGCACTTGTATACCTTGTACATGTACTTGTATACCTTGTACATGTACTTGTATACCTTGTACATGTACTTGTATACCTTGTACATGTACTTGTAGTAAATAAAGATATTATTGTCAATTGACTTGTAGTTACTAGGTAGTGGCTCACGCAGAGCTTCCTGTCCCTCTCGTAAAATCTACGGTGACACCTCGCCAGGTTTCATTACCTTCTATGTATCCAATTCTCTCAAGTTTTTTCACCTATTCCTCTGTTGTGTTTTTCCAGAACCTGCCGGTGTACACTTTGCTTTAAGCTCTCTAGTATCGTTCCTCTTTCCACTGAGAATACCTCATTAAATCGTTTCTTCAGCACTTCACGAATTACCTGATTTTCTGCTGTCGCATTTCTGCTAATGTGGCTGAGATAATTTGGGCTCTATCTTGGGTTTTATTTCTGGCATTCGCAAACTGCTGTTCAGAGTGTTTCCTAACCCTTGCTTACTCGTTGCTGCCTCTTATGCTCGCTTCTCTGTTATTCCCTCTCCGTATCTTTGATAAAACCAAGGGCTCTGTGAGATCTCCCATCCTTCTACTGGAAATGAATTGCTTCTCTGCCTCCCAGCATTTCCCAGCTAGGTTGTACTTTATTGAATTCAGGAACTTTTTCTTCCAGTTCCCTTTTGCACTGCACTGTATTCGGAATTCTCTCTTCTCTTCAGAGTTCCCTTTTCTGAAGTCAGCTGTCTCACACACTCCGCCTCTCTTCCCTCAGTGTTAAATTCATAGGAGGCTCTCTTATTCAATTTTACTTATTTCAGATGTACTCGTGGTAAATACAAAATGCAATCTTGCTGGTTAATCTGTTCCCCTAACATATTTATGTAAAATATTTGATTTAAACACCTCTACCATCGTAGCTCTCTCTGTTTCTGGGCAGCCACATGGGTTCCAGTTCTTCCAGTCAATTTCTTTGAGGATGTAATCAATGATTAAGGACTTTGCTTTAGTCTCATGAGTTCTCCTTCCTATTTCTGCTAAATTAATAACTTTTGTTGGAATTTTTAACCTGGGGAAAACCGAGCCACCAGGATAACCCAAGAAAGTTAGTGCCTCATCAAGGACTGTGTTTTATTTCCATTAGGGTCCTTGAAATCTTGTGCCCCTAGGATGCAACCCACACCAGTCGACTAACACACAGGTACCTACTTACTGCAGGTGAACAGGGACAGCAGGTGTTAGGAAACACACCCAATGTTTCCAACCATACCGGAGATTGAACCACGGTATCTCAGTGTGTGAGGCGAGAGCCTTGCGTACCAAGTCATAACACCATTGCATTATTTTTTCTTCTTCTTCCTGTCTTGGTTTCCTGCTGTTTGGTTGTGGGTTGTAAATCACTGCTACCACTACCACTCAGGATCACCAAATCTTGTTTGTACCCATTATGTTTCTTTAACCCATCGCTTCAAAACTCTCCTGATTTCTTAATAGCAGATCTATACCTCATCCCTCCCTTGTTTCCTCTGTCTTTCCTTATTACCTGGTATCTTACTGAGAAAATATCAGTTATCATTCCAGGTAATTTTGTCTTTCTGATATCTATGATATCCGGGTTTACCTCTGCTATCCATTCATTAGACTCGCTGTTTTAGTTTCGATAATTCGTCAACGTCTGTGTAAATGTGTGTGTGTGTGTGTGTGTGTGTGTGTGTGTGTGTGTGTGTGTGTGTGTGTGTGTGTGTGTGTGTGTGTGTTGTGTGTGTGTGTGTGTGTTTGTGTGTGTGTGTACTCACCTAGTTGAGGTTGCAGGGGTCGAGTCCAAGCTCCTCTGTGTGTGTGTGTGTGTGTGTGTGTGTGTGTGTGTGTGTGTGTGTGTGTGTGTGTGTGTGTGTGTGTGTGTGAAGGCTTACTCAACCTTGTAATATCTTAAGGTCTTACCAAGGCTGGCTCCTCCTTAGAAAAATTAATGAATAGAAAAAAATAACATACAAATATAAACACTTTTGTTATAATTGACAATATAAAACATTTAAATATGAACTTTTATCCTACGTGAAAGTAAAAATGAGAAATGAAATATAAAAATATTTAAATTCAACGGTAATATGTACAGTTAGACTGTGGTGTCTGGTTGATGTTGACACCGCGCCTTGTAGAAATTGTAGCCGTTGTTGATGTGGGGGTCACAGGTGTTGAGTGACAACCCAACGACTAGTCACAGTATCTCTAGCCTTGAATAATCCGTCAAGATATGAACGCAGGTCTATCATCACTGCAAAGATGAGGGGTAGTTGCCTGGGGTTGGCTACACCCAGGTATGTAGATCAAGGGTGACGTCCCAGAACTCATGTGAAGTTCGTCTCCTTGAACACTGTCTCTGTGGTTGCCAGATGACCCAAGCTGACATTCCAAAAGTTGTGTTGGGAGCTGTGAGTCAAGTGATTATCTATTTGGTTGGAGCCCCACACGTCACCTTTCCGGGTGGAAAAAGGAAGGGGGGGCATAGCGGGAGCTAGACACTGACCCTATCTTAACAAGCAAACTGGTAATTAAACTATCGTCACCATATACTCGCTCGGTACTCCTACCTGTTGAACTTTTCCCTCTGTGTGTGTGTGTGTGTGTGTGTGTGTGTGTGTGTGTGTGTGTGTATGTGTGTGTGTGTGTGTGTGTGTGTGTGTGTGTGTGTGTGTGTGTGTGTGTGTGTGTGTGTACGCGTGCGCGTACTCACGTATCTATGGTTGTAGAGGTTGAGACGGTTCCTACTTACTGCTAGGTATACAGGGACAGCAGGTGTAAGTTAACACCCAGGTACCTACTTACTGCTAGGTAAGCAGGGACAGCAGGTGTAAGGTAACTAACACCCAGGTACGTACTTACTGCTATGTAAACAGACACAGCAGGTGTAAGGTAACTAACACCCAGGTACCTACTTACTGCTAGGTAAACAGAGACAGCAGGTGTAAGGTAACTAACACCCAGGTACCTACTTACTGCCAGGTAAACATGGACAGCAGGTGTAAGGTAACTAACACCAAGCTACCTACTTACTGCTAGGTAAACAGACACAGCAGGTGTGAGGTAACTAACACCAAGCTACCTACTTACTGCTAGGTAAACAGACACAGCAGGTGTAAGGTAACTAACACCAAGGTATCTACTTACTGCTAGGTAAACAGTGACATCAGGTGTAAGGTAACTAACACCAAGGCACCTACTTACTGCCAGGTAAACATGGACAGCAGGTGTAAGGTAACTAACACCAAGGTACCTACTTACTGCTAGGTAAACAGAGACAGCAGGTGTAAGGTAACTAACACCAAGGTACCTACTTACTGCTAGGTAAACAGAGACAGCAGGTGTAAGGTAACTAACACCAAGGTATCTACTTACTGCTAGGTAAACAGTGACAGCAGGTGTGAGGTAACTAACACCAAGCTACCTACTTACTGCTAGGTAAACAGAGACAGCAGGTGTGAGGTAACTAACACCAAGGTATCTACTTACTGCTAGGTAAACAGAGACAGCAGGTGTAAGGTAACTAACACCAAGGCACCTACTTACTGCCAGGTAAACATGGACAGCAGGTGTAAGGTAACTAACACCAAGGCACCTACTTACTGCCAGGTAAACATGGACAGCAGGTGTAAGGTAACTAACACCAAGGTACCTACTTACTGCTAGGTAAACAGAGACAGCAGGTGTAAGGTAACTAACACCAAGGTATCTACTTACTGCTAGGTAAACAGTGACATCAGGTGTAAGGTAACTAACACCAAGGCACCTACTTACTGCCAGGTAAACAGTGACATCAGGTGTAAGGTAACTAACACCAAGCTACCTACTTACTGCTAGGTAAACAGAGACAGCAGGTGTGAGGTAACTTACTGCATAATTAAGCTGAAAGATATTGTTAACATATATTTTTATTAAATATATCTAAGTTGTTGTGACTTATTTTGACTTTTGTCATAATCTTAAGTCATTGTGTTGCACAATAACAGGTGTGACGGTATGTGAGGTGGGAGCTGCGATCACATGTGTAGTATCAACCTACCAGAGGCACAAGGACAGATGTGTGGCGGAACACAGCATCTGTGACGGCATCAATCACTGCCACAACGGTGACCAGGTGTCTGATGAGACCGGGTGCGGTACCACACCAACAAGCCACATGGGGGATGGAAATCTTTGACTCTAGATCTTTCACACTCTCGTGCGTCGTCAGGAGCTATGTAATGTTGCAAGACAGCAACAGATTTAAAGCGAAATTCTCCGAGGCAAAGCAGAGAGTATTAATGGCAACCCATGACACAGATTTCCATCCTCCTTTAAGTTTTTCTGCATTAAACTCAATTGTTTGCGACTGTAATGCATATCCTTCAATATATCCCATAGATAATATGCAATTTAAAGTATTTTCTCGGTCTATCCTAAACCCGTCTTTATTCTGTTTCTTCCTGATCTATCTTAAGAACATTATATGTGCACTGGATGCTGCACGATTCATATCCCTGCATTGCACAACCCAAACCCCCTGAACTCCAATTCACGAGAAAGGAATAGTGCAGAGTGCGCCAAGAGTTTCTGATGCCGTTAAATATTACTGTCGAAGATATGATGCACACCAGACACTAATTTCAATACAAATGACAAAGAATTAATTTGACATGTGACGAAGATTACTAGGCATTCTCTTAACTCAAAGATACCGAAGTCCTAAAATATACCTGCACATCAAGTTTGAAGCCTCTCAATGTATGCATTAACATGTTATTACCACTGAAGTGTGAAGCCAATTGGATGAATCATTCTGAATTTATCAAAAGGTAATATTTAGTTCTTCCCACGTTCGTTCATGAAAAAAGGTAAATTGTGTAAGACTGACCAGTGTGTAAGACTGACCAGTGTGTAAGACTGACCAGTGTGTAAGACTGACCAGTGTGTAAGACTGACCAGTGGGTGTTTATGACTGACCAGTGTGTATGTAAGTCTGACCAGTGTGTATGACTGACCAGTGTGTATGTAAGTCTGACCAGTGTGTAAGACTGACCAGTGTGTGTGTAAGACTGACCAGTGTGTGTGTAAGTCTGACCAGTGTGTGTGTAAGACTGACCAGTGTGTGTGTAAGTCTGACCAGTGTGTGTGTAACACTGACCAGTGTGTGTGTAAGTCTGACCAGTGTGTGTGTAAGACTGACCAGTGTCTGCATAAGACTGACCACTGTGTGTGTATGACTGACCAGTGTGTGTGTGTATGACTGACCAGTGTGTGTGTATGACTCACCAGTGTGTGTGTAAGACTGACCAGTGTGTGTGTAAGACTGACCAGTGTGTGTGTAAGACTGACCAGTGTGTGTGTGTGTGTGTGTGTGTGTGTGTGTAAGACTGACCAGTGTGTGTGTGTGTGTGTGTGTAAGACTGACCAGTGTGTGTGTATGACTGACCAGTGTGTGTGGATGACTGACCAGTGTGTGTGTGTATGACTGACCAGTGTGTGTGTGTATGACTGACCAGTGTGTGTGTGTATGACTGACCAGTGTGTGTGTATGACTGACCAGTGTGTGTGTAAGACTGACTAGTGTGTGTGTAAGACTGACCAGTGTGTGTGTAAGACTGACCAGTGTGTGTGTAAGACTGACTAGTGTGTGTGTGTAAGTCTGACCAGTGTGTGTGTAAGACTGACCAGTGTGTGTGTAAGACTGACCTGTGTGTGTGTAAGTCTGACCAGTGTGTGTGTAAGACTGACCAGTGTGTGTGTAAGTCTCACCAGTGTGTGTGTAACACTGACCAGTGTGTGTGTAAGTCTGACCAGTGTGTGTGTAAGACTGACCAGTGTCTGCATAAGACTGACCAGTGTGTGTGTATGACTGACCAGTGTGGGTGTGTATGACTGACCAGTGTGTGTGTAAGACTGACCAGTGTCTGCATAAGACTGACCACTGTGTGTGTATGACTGACCAGTGTGTGTGTATGACTCACCAGTGTGTGTGTAAGACTGACCAGTGTGTGTGTAAGACTGACCAGTGTGTGTGTGTGTGTGTGTGTGTGTGTGTGTGTGTGTGTGTGTGTGTGTGTGTGTGTGTAAGACTGACCAGTGTGTGTGTGTGTGTGTAAGACTGACCAGTGTGTGTGTGTGTGTGTAAGACTGACCAGTGTATGTGTGTGTGTGTGTGTGTGTGTAAGACTGACCAGTGTGTGTGTATGACTGACCAGTGTGTGTGGATGACTGACCAGTGTGTGTGTGTGTATGACTGACCAGTGTGTGTGTGTGTATGACTGACCAGTGTGTGTGTGTAAGACTGACTAGTGTGTGTGTAAGACTGACCAGTGTGTGTGTAAGACTGACTAGTGTGTGTGTGTAAGACTGACTAGTGTGTGTGTATGACTGACTAGTGTGTGTGTATGACTGACCAGTGTGTGTGTATGACTGACCAGTGTGTGTGTAAGACTGACTAGTGTGTGTGTAAGACTGACTAGTGTGTGTGTAAGACTGACCAGTGTGTGTGTAAGACTGACCAGTGTGTGTGTAAGACTGACTAGTGTGTGTGTAAGACTGACCAGTGTGTGTGTAAGACTGACCAGTGTGTGTGTATGACTGACCAGTGTGTATTTGTAAGGCTGACCAGTGAGTGTGTAAGACTGACCAGTGTGTGTGTATGACTGACCAGTGTGTGTGTAAGACTGACCAGTGTGTGTGTAAGACTGACCAGTGTGTGTGTAAGACTGACCAGTGTGTGTGTATGACTGACCAGTGTGTGTGTATGACTGACCAGTGTGTGCGTAAGACTGACCAGTGTGTGTGTAAGACTGACCAGTGTGTAAGACTGACCAGTGAGTAAGACTGGCCAGTGTGTGTGTGTGTGTGTGTAAGACTGACCAGTGTGTGTGTAAGACTGACCAGTGTGTGTGTAAGACTGACCAGTGTGTAAGACTGACCAGTGGTTGTGTGTAAGACTGACCAGTGTGTGTGTAAGACTGAGTAGTAAGCCTGGCCAGTGTCTGTGTAAGACTGACTAGTAAGCCTGACCAGTGTCTGTGTAAGACTGACAAGTGTCTGTGTAAGACCCACCAGTGTCTGTGTCAGACCCACCAGTGTCTGTGTCAGACCCACCAATGTCTGTGTCAGACCCACCAGTGTCTGTATCAGACCCACCAGTGTGTAAGACCACCAGTGTCTGTCTCAGACCCACCAGTGTGTAACACCACCAGTGTCTGTGTCAGACCCACCAGTGTCTGTGTCACTCACCAGTGTGTAAGACCACCAGTGTCTGTGTCAGACCCACAAGTGTCTGTGTCAGACCCACCAGTGTGTAAGACCACCAGTGTCTGTGTCAGACCCACCAGTGTGTAAGACCACCAGTGTCTGTGTCAGACCCACCAGTGTCTGTGTCAGACCCACCAGTGTGTAAGACCACCAGTGTCTGTGTCAGACCCACCAGTATCTGTGTAGGACCATCAGTGTCTGTGTCAGACCTCCAGATTCTGTGTAAGACCCACCAGTGTCTGTGTCAGACCCACGAGTGTCAGTGTCACACCCACCAATGTCTGTGTCAGACCCACCAGTGTGTAAGACCACCAGTGTCAGTGTCAGGCCCACCAGTGTCTGTGTCAGACCCACCAGTGTGTCAGACCACCAGAGTCTGTGTCAGACCCACCAGTGTCTGTGTCAGACCCACCAGTGTGTAAGACCACCAGTGTCTGTGTCAGACCCACCAGTGTGTAAGACCACCAGTGTCTGTGTCAGATCCACCAGTGTCTGTGTCAGACCCACCAGTGTGTAAGACCACCAGTGTCTGTGTCAGACCCACCAGTGTCTGTGTCAGACCACCAGTGTCTGTGTCAGACCCACCAGTGTCTGTGTCAGACCCACCAGTGTCTGTGTCAGACCCACCAGTGTGTAAGACCACCAGTGTCTGTGTCAGACCCACCAGTATCTGCGTAGGACCATCAGTGTCTGTGTCAGACCTCCAGATTCTGTGTAAGACCCACCAGTGTCAGTGACAGACTCACCAGTGTCTTTGTCAGACCCACCAGTGTCTTTGTCAGACCCACCAGTGTCTGTGTCAGACCCACCAGTGTCTTTGTCAGACCCACCAGTGTCTGTGTCAAACCCACCAGTGTCTGTGTCAGACCCACCAGTGTCTGTGTCAGACCTCCAGATTGTGTCAGACCCACCAGTGTCTGTGTCAGATCCACCAGTGTCTGTATCAGACCCACCAGTGTCTGTCTCAGATCCGCCAGTGTGTGTCAGACCCACCAGTGTCTGTGTCAGACCCACCAGTGTCTGTGTAAGACCCACCAGTGTCTGTGTAAGACCCACCATTGTCTATGTCAGACCCACCAGTGTCTGTGCCAGACCCACCAGTGTCTGTCAGACCCACCAGTGTCTGTGCCAGACCCACCAGTGTCTTTGGCAGACCCACCAGTGTCTGTGTTAGACCCACCAGTGTGTCAGACCCACCAGTGTCTGTGTCAGACCCACCAGTGTCTGTGCCAGACCCACCGGTGTCTGTATCAGACCCACCAGTGTATGTGTCAGACCCAACAGCGTCTGTGTCAGACCCACCAGTGTCTGTGTCAGACCCACCAGTGTGTAAGACCACCAGTGCCTGTGTCAGACCCACCAGTGTCTGTCAGACCCATCAGTGTGTAAGACCACCAGTGTCTGTCAGATCCACTAGTGTCTGTGTCAGACCCACCAGTGTCTGTGTCAGACGCACCAGTGTCTGTCAGACCCACCAGTGTCTGTCAGACCCACCAGTGCCTGTGTCAAACCCACCAGTGTCTGTCAGACTCACCAGTGTGTAAGACTACCAGTGTCTGTCAGACCCACCAGTGTCTGTGTCAGACCCACCAGTGTTTGTGTCAGATCCACCAGTGTCTGTGTCAGACCCACCAGTGTCTCTGTCAGACCCACCAGTGTCTGTGTCAGACCCACCAGTAAGACCACCAGTGTCTGTGTCAGACCCACCAGTGTCTTTGTCAGATCCACCAGTGTCTATATCAGACCCACCAGTGTCTGTCTCAGACCCACCAGTGTGTGTCAGACCCACCAGTGTCTGTCAGACCCACCAGTGCCTGTGTCAGACCCACCAGTGTCTGTGTCAGACCCTCCAGTGTCTGTGTCAGACCCACCAGTGTCTGTGTCAGAC